TCTGTCTCGCTCTCGCTGCCCCATGCCATCAGCTGTGCCCCGACACAAGACTTCCAGAACGTAGATAAGCTGGCCTGCTTTCCGCCACTAGCCAGGGGTGGGCAGGTCAGGGTTCTGTCTGCAGCCCCGAGTTTTCATGCTGTCTTCACCTCTCAGTGGGATCGGCTCTGCCAAGGTTCAGGTGGGATTTTACAGCCCACAGACCCGGTCAAGCCAGTGACCAGCTGAAGCCAGTGACCAGCGAGGGGGTTCTGTTTGCGAGGTGCTGCTTTCAGGAAAGACGGTGACCGCTACAGGGAACCTGGGGCTTATAGGCGGAGCATCCCAAACCCGAAAAGCTCAAACCCAAAGTGTTTCCAACTCTAAAACTTCCCTACCGGTGGAAGGCCCCAAGTGGAAACTTCCAGATCTAATCTTACGTGACAGGTTTGAGCCGACACCTTTATAGCAGTAGCGATAAAATGCCCTCCAGGCTGTACCTACGCAAGCGATCTGGAAAACACAATTTAACCTGTATGCAGATTAGGGTCCACCCCCAGGATATCCATTATTTATATACTGTTATTTCAAAATATATATTTAAAAAAATGTCATCCAAAACACTTCTGTTCCCAAGGCTTTGGATGAGGGATAGGTAACTTAAAATTTGCAGTGCTAACCTAGTCCTTCTTGTGACAGCCCCCTGGTCTCTGTTCTTAGGGACCTGGTGACTTCCTCCAGCTCTACCCCAACCTGTGCTTCCTGGGAGGGGCCTCAGGGCCGGTCCTTTGCTTAGCCTTTCCAAGTCACGAATGCCTCAAGACTTAGAGCCTAATGCCATCTTCCTTCATCACCTGCCGCGTCATCGTCGCCATGTCAGTGGCCACACTTACCCCAGGTGCACGTTACTGTGCTGGCTTCCCCATGACCCCCAGCTGTGGGCATGTGATTTGACATCAGATGGGAGCTTGCTCCACCCTTGCGCTGAGAATCCCCTGAGGCCAGAGACTCACTCGCTCAGTTTGTAATCTGTTCTGTCCCACTAGAGAAAATGTGTGGGCCTTCTAAAGAAGGCTCCCTAAACTGGGGATGGTGCCAATTAGGGCACCGAGCAAAGTTCCAAATGTGTAAATAAAGTCAGGAGGCTCCTAAGAGAGTCCATTTGAACACCTTTTTCATTTCAAATTACTTTTGTGCTTTTATTCCTGGTTCTTGTTCTAAGCATGAACCCCTGGTGCCTGTTCCTGAAGCCCGTGATTAGAAGGCCAGATTTATCCTTGATCACATTGGAGGTCGATGGAAACAGTGTTCTCAGATTTCATTTCCATTTGCCCCTCAGACCAAGCCAGTGGTGGGAGCATCGACTGGGCTTATGATTTTGGCATCAAATACTCATTCGCCTTTGAACTGAGAGACACAGGCTTCTATGGCTTCCTCCTGCCAGCCAAGCAGATCCTGCCCACAGCAGAAGAGACCTGGCTCGGCCTGAAGACCATCATGGAGCACGTCCGAGACCATCCCTATTAGGCCCTGCAGAACAGACAAACGCCATTAAAAGCTCTGTGATGTAAAGCAAAACTGGCTTCGGATTATTCCTCTTTTTATTCCTAATCTTAAAACAGTATTTAAGGTTTTTGTTTTGTTTTGTTTTTTGAGTGCCTGGGATTTGAACCCAGGGACTTGCACTTGCTAGGTGAGCACTTCCCCAGTGAGCTTAATCCCAAGCTCCTGTTTCTGCAGTTTCTCTTGTCCCAAAGCCACAAGTCCCTGTGCTGTCCTTGTATATTTTTTTAACCTGTTCTAAGTGAACTATTTCCAACATCCTTTAATTTTTAAAAATTTGATGTTATACATGACATAAAATTTACTGTTATTTTTTCTCCAGACAGGGTATTATGTAGTTCAGGTTGGACTAGAACTCCTGAACCACCTGTCTCTATGACTCTTACGTGCTAGCATCACAGGCACATGCTGCCACACCCAGCTCTTGATTATTTTGGGTGGGGGTAGCTAACAGGATATTTTAATATTTGGATTAAACATGAGGGTTAAGAGAAAGAGAGGGTAGCTAGAGATAGCTCAGCAATTAAGAGCACTGGATGCTCTTGTAGAGGACCCCAGTTTTACTCCCATCCTTGTGAAAGTCCAGCTCCAGGGGATCTGAGGCCTTTTTAACCTCCAGTGGAACCAGCCAGGCACAAGACCTATGTGTAGGCAAACATTCAACACATCAAATAAAGTAAATACATCTTTAAAGAGAGAGAACAAGAGGGGCTCAGGGTGTAGGCGTCTCAAAGAGCAAAGTGTGATGTGGGCTCCTCAAGGCGGAGCTGCTCTTGATCATTCTTTTTGCTTAAAAAAGCAAACAGCTTTTTTAAGACAGGGTCTCTCTGTGTAGCCCTGGCTGTGCTGGAACTCACTCTGTAGACCAGGCTGGCCTTGAACTCATAGAGATCCTCCTGCCTCTGCCTCCCTGGGATAAGAGGCATGCGCGAAAACCAACCAGCTCCCTTGGGTATTCTTAAAGGTACAGGTCAACAGCACCAAGTGTGTTCACTCTGCTGAGCCGTCACCCCGATATCCGTCTCCAGAGCGTCTTCCTAGCATCTCAGGCTGAAATACTTACTCGCCATTTCCCTCTCAGTCTAGCCTCTTAGAACCATTATTGTATTCTCGCCCTAGGAATTTTGCTGTGCCAGGTCCATCATAGGGCCAAAATCCCATAGCATTCATCATTCTGTGTGGGTCTGATTTCACATAGCATAATATTTCCAAGGTTTATTAATTTTGTAGTGAGTCTTAATCCTCTCCCTCCCTGCCTTCCTTTGTCCATCCCTCTCCCCCCGCCCCTCTGAGCTAGGGTCTCATTAACTAGCCCAGGTGATCCTCCTGTCTCAGTATGTCCAATGCTGGGATGTGAGGCATGGCCCGCCATGCCCAGCGTGGCCCTTGATCTGGACAGTGCAGCATTTCAGAGTTAGCGATGGGCTTCAGGGTCTTCCTCCGACATTGCCTTTACATTGCTATGCAGCCTTTGGTCTTGCTGCCTCTTGTCCTGCAGAGTGTGTCTCTCCACTTGCATACAGATTCTCTTTAGACATTCACTTCAATTAGTGATTTAGATTATATATTTGTTTGTTTATTTATAGATAGTGTTCCTTTGTTCCCTGGGATAGAGTGGAAAATGGGTTTCGGCATCTAGCATTCTGAGTGCTTCTTTCTATCACGCTTCTAGCTGGTTGCAGACTGTGTTTTTCTTACTGTTAATATCAGGGATGAGGTTGACCTTGGTGTGAACCAGAGCCCCGCCTCTGGTGGATAGAGCAGGTGTAGGTCCAGTTTAAGTGTTGGGAAGACCCAGAGCTCCGAGACAGGAAGAAATGCCAGAGACCCCAGTTCTGCCACATCTGAAGGAGGCTGCCTCTTGGGACTCAGTGCCCTGCCAGAACCAGTATTAGCGAAGACATGGCAAGTCATAGCACCCCCATCTACCAAGGTGTGATTAATTTCCTCATCCCTCATTGTTGGTGATGGTGAGCCCTTGACCTGCTAGCAAGAGTCCTGCTAGGACAGCTGCTTCCTCTTAGCACTTCCCAGGTCCTGATCCCTCATCCGGCTGTCTGGGAGCTAAACTAGCCCCTCTTCCTGCTACAGTCCTGGTCTCGGGGTGGCTGTCTCTGGGGAAGCCTTTCTTACTGTGTTAGCAAGGGTCAGGGTACATTTCAGTGCTTCTAGCCACGATCCTTGCTTCAGCAGGTGTGGAAAGAATGAGCCCATGGGGACCCTGGGAGAGGGTGACTTGGGGTTCCTGGGACAAAGCCATATGCCTGAAAATAAACCGTGGCTGTCATGAGCAGCTTCCGCTTACTCTCCTGACTCCAGACTCAGAGCGTAGCAAAACCTCAGAAAGGCTTATTAGTTTTATCAGAGCCAGGCTTGAGTAGGGGCATGATGGCGCACACCTTTAGTCCCAGCAATTGAGAGGGAGAGGCGGGAGGGTCTCTGAGCTTGAGACCAGCCTAGTGTACAAAGTAAGTCCCAGAATAGCCAGTACTACTTCAAGAAAGAAAGAAAGAAAGAAAGAAAGAAAGAAAGAAAGAAAGAAAGAAAGAAAGAAAGAAAGAAAGAAAGAAAAAGAAAAAAGGAAAGAGGCAAGAAATAAAAAAGTTAAGAAAAGAAAAGCCAAGCGCTTGGCTTCGAGTCTGGGGCCTGTCATCCCAGCCCCAGGGGGTTGAAGCAGGAAGACTGAACTCACACTAACCAGCGATACAAAGTGAGCTCATGTAGGAAACGAGGGACTGCAAAGATGGCTGAGAGATCAAGGCTGCAAGCTGCTGCAGAGGCCCTAGGTCTGACTTCCTGGACCACATGGCAGCCCAGAGCTGCCAGTAGCTCCAGCTTTTGGGGACTGTGGGACCTGATGCTCAGTTCTGACTTTCAAAGGTAGCTGCATGCTCGAGGTGTGTGGCAACTCACACAGGTACACAAATATCCACATAAATAAGCAATAAAGAACAAATACAACCCAAATATCAGTAGGCCTGTCTGTCATTCAGACTCCAGGGAAAAGGTAATTTATTCAGAATAGCACGTTCCCCTAAACCCTCACCACACAAACTTCTCTTTTCTTCATGGAATCCTAAGAATGAGGCCTTCGACCCCTAAAGGAGGCCGTAAACTCTCCCCTTTATGATCTGCTCTGCTGAATTCTCTGGACAGGCTTCTGACGTGTGTGGCCTTGGAGTTGGCTCAAGGTCGCTTGATAGTCTTCACTTTCAAAAAAGGCTCTATTACTCCGGAGGTAACTTCATCCCCGGTTCACAGTCTGGCCTCTCCTATCAGCCTGAATTCCATCCAGCAATGTGGGATCTTTCCATTTACTCAAAAAACGCCATGTAGATGCCAAGTGATGAGCAATGTGGCACCCTGGGTAAGACGTTCCCGGCCTGTGGAGCGAGTTCCTGCCCTGCAAGTGGAGGGGTTGGGCCTTCATCACTAGAAAGGAATGGAAGAGGCTTGGCTGGGGAAGGCTGCTGAGAACCATATTAGCATTTCTGAGGATGTGAGTCTGCCTCGGGCCCCTTATAAATATGGCTTGACTCAGTGCCTGTGTGACTGGCGCCCTTGAGACATGAGGTGGCTGCTGTTCTGTGGGGCCCTTCTTGGGTCAGGCATCTGCGGCCGAGACAAATTCTTTGGGTGAGTTCCTTTTGAATTTTATTGTCATTATTTAGTTATTTAGCAACCTGGGAGCCAGATGGAGTGATTGTACTTTTGGTGGTGGGGCTTGGGGTCAGGGCTGGCCTTCTCCGTCTCCTCTGCTCCAGTGCCACCCTGGACCGGCCACTTCTCTCGCAAACCCAGTTTGATCCGTCAAATAAAAGCTAGAGGTCTCCACAGAAACTTCCTGGCTCCTTAGCCTCCTGCTCTTTCCTTCTTCTTCCTAAGGTCGGCTCCAGGTATTTCCCATCCCATTCATTGCGAAGAATGGTCAGAAAGCTGTTGTCAGTTTCTGCCAGGCTTGGAGGGAAAAGCTGGCTCCCAGGGTCTGGGGACAGAGAGTCTCTGTCAGCGGTGAAGCCTGGGGATAGCTGGTGCTTTCTCCCAGGCTTTTGGAGGAAGGAGGCCCAATAGCCCTTGCCTAGCCGCAGCTATGGAAGTGCACCCCGGGGCCCTGCCTGAGTGTGCGCAGGCGCCACTGCTCCGAGCAGAACGCTGTGGAGTGGGCGAAGGACAGGAAGTGGGAGAGGCCGGGACGTGAGAGAGATGCTTTGCCACCACGGTAGAAGACCTCACTAGAGTAATCACTGCACAACGTTTTGCCTTTTGCAAAGAGCTTTTGTTTGCCTTGTCTTGCCGATGGTGTAACAGCCCCGCCAGGCGAGGCATGATTTTCCTCAGTTTCAACGTGAAAAAGCCTTATAAGGGTTAAGGAACCTGCCCAGAGCTAGCTGGAGGCAGGACCGCTGAGTGCAAAGCTCATATTCCTTTTTTGTAGCACAAGTCAATCAAATGGAATCCTCTATCTCACCGGTCTACCTGCGGATTCGAGTTTATTCTCTATTGTGTTGTCTGGCTAAAGGGACTCCAGGGTTGTTTATTGAAGCAATTACTTACATGAGATTGAGTAATTTTTATGGGGATGATGTTTCATACCTGTCTCCGCTGCCAAATAGCTGGGAGGGGTTGGCGTAGCAGGTGGCCAGGGAGGAAGATTTTTCCGCGGCAGCTCAGCGGTGGAGGGTCATAATACCTCGCTGCCGTGCAGGCTGACGCCTGGAGCTGCCAGGGCCCACTGCAGCTATGCGTGCGGCTGAAAAACCTCTGCTTCTCTGCATACAGGCCTTTCCTGTGATACAGGGTTACCTTCTCTGGGACGGTGGGGCTGGGCCCCGGGGAATACACTATGGGAGCTGTGCAGACGAAGGGCTGGTTTCGATGGTTTTAATCAATAGTGCCGTGTCATCTCCAAGTCCGTTCTTACTTCACAGTGGGCACCTCAGGAAAGGGAGAAGAATCTTTTTGCTGGGACCCACTGGCACGTCCTGGTCACCAGTTCAAAGAATGTGCTGGGTGGCATCTGAGTGGCCGGGGAGCCAGGCTGGGTGGCGTCTGAGTGGCCGGGGAGCCAGGCTGGCTAACAGACACAGATGCTGATCTCTCCCGCCACTCTGCCTCCTGCCTTTGTAATTGGTTCTCCTAGCTCCCAGCAGCGCTACCACCTCCCCCAGAGCCACCAACTCTCTGTTGGTGTCATCTGTCCATCTCCAGATGTCTCAAGGCTGAGGCAGTGGCCAGGCGCTGGGCCGGCAGAGAACAGGAAGCAGTTGCAGAGCTGGGGAAGTGTCAGAGGTAGTTGGCAGGCAGCCCAGCTTCCTTGAGCTGTCCCTTAATGCTCTCCGTCCTCCCTGCTGAGCCTAGGCAGGAATGTCAGTGAGAGAGAGAACCGAGCACTTGGCTCCCTGCCTGGCAGAGGAGGGCTGGAAACCTGGCTGTCGGAGCAGGTTTCGAGTGTGTGCTCTGAGGGTGAGTGGGCAGTCATCAGTCAGGTGCTAAAGGCATCTTGGTGAGCCGGGAATTGAAGAGAGCTAGAGGAGCTTCGAAACAACCATCCGGAGCAGGAGGGGCGGACAGCACCCCTCGCCCCGGCTGATCTCCTGTTTCCAGAAGGAGCTCAAGGTCAACGTCTTTGAGCGGAATTCCAGCTGGTGCAGACGGGCCTGCTCAGCCTTCTGCAGGGGCATGGGGTGGAGAATGAGTGTTCCAGTAGAGATAAGGTCAGTGCAGGCAGGAAGAAGGCGACCGGTCCTCGGCCCGCCGCCCGCGCTGCTCTTAGGTGCCACTGCATTGATATTTATAAGGGTATTTAGTGCAGACCCTTCTCCACCATTGCCAAGTTTTAGCGCTATCGTATCTAGCTTTGGTTAGGGAACGCCTCGTGAGTGACGGGCTTGAAGCTCAGGTAGGAGCCTGACAGGCAGGTGAGGACTGGGGCCGAGGGAGCACCTCAGGGAAGGCACCCAAAGGCGCCAGCACAGAACAAACACGACATTTCAGGCGTGCGGGGGCGGGGGTCTCCACCCTACACCTTCTGCCTGGCCTCTTCTTGCCCATGACAGACAGATGTTTGTGTCTTTAACCTTGGCTGCTTAGAACGTGACAGAATGGACTGTGAACTTAATCCCTTCCAGGGACCAGTAACGTCACTGTGTTCTGTCGTCATGGACTTGCTCGGGAATGCTCAGGTTCTGTGGTGATGTCACCACGCTGGAGAAGGGAACGGCACACAGTTTATAGCGTGGGGACTGTGTCGTCACGTCTTCATCTCCAGACTCTTTGTCTGCCTCCTTTCCTTCCGCCCCCTTCTCCATCCCCTCTTGCTCTCCCTGACTGCTCTAGCCAGGGTTATTTTGCAAAGGCCCAATTATTTTCGCCCAAGATGTTGATCCTTCCTAGCGTGCTCATTGAAAAAATAATTTGTTTTTAATATTTTTAATTTGTGTGTATGTGCACATGAATCCAGGCGCCCAAGGAGGCCGGAGACATTGTCTCTCTGGAACTGGAGTTACAGGCGGTTGTGAGCTGCCTAGCGTGGGTGCTGAGGGCCTGACTTGGGTCCTTTCTAAGTGCCGTGTATGCTCTTAACTGCCAAACTGCCTCGCAGGCCCCTCTTTCCCGGAGTGTTAGGGACAAGTGGCTGCAGAGCATGGGTTTGTCGGCCTTTGTCTTCAGTCAAAAGGCTTTGCCCTCCACCAAACTGTCTTCAAGGCTGTCTATGACAGAGAGATGGTAGTCGGACACTCGCTCTTCCCGGGCTGTGATCCAACTCTCTGTGTGCCCCATGGGTTGTGTATTAGTCAATCTTCTGTCGTTATAACAAAATGCTTGGAGTTGGGACGTTCCTTTTTTCTGTCGCTGTGGTAAAATGCTCTGATATAAGCACGTTAAGGGAGAAAGGGCTTATCTCGGCTCGTAGTTTGAGGATGGAGTCTGTTTCAGTGGAGAGTCATGGCGGAAGGGGCTTGAGGCAGCTGGTGGGGTTGACCCACAGAAGGGAGCGAGGAGTAGTTGTGCTCAGTGACATTCTGGTGTTTATTCACTCCAGACCCCAAGCCCCGGAGTGCAGCCCCCTCCGTTAGGTTGGCCCCGCTAAGCCACACAGCTGCTCACAGCTGGGTCTAGAGGCTTGTCTCCTAGGTAATGTTAAGTCCTGTCAGGTTCATAATCATCAACCACCACACTAGCTAACACACAAAGAAGAAAAAGCGATTTATCTCACTCACAGCTTTGGAAGCTGACGGTCCAAGGTTGAGTAGCCCTGTCTGTTTTGCCCTTGGTGAGGGCTTCGGTGTATGGCCTTGTGGACGAAGCATGTGTGAGAAGGGGGATCAGGACAGGATGCCAGAGAGACTCGAGTGCCATGCCCAGTCTTTTAAATCTGCTTTCATAGGAACTGTAAAACTATAAGACTACAAAGCCCACTTCCAGGGGCCCTGCCCCAGCCGGCTGCCTCTGATGCTGCCTTCCAACTGGAGGCCAGACTTCTAGGACCTGAACCCTTAGGGCTCGTTCAAGCCACACCTAGACCGTAGCAGGTTCAGTGGAGACATGCCAAACCAGGCCTTCTCTTGGGTCCTCTGCAGCCTTCATGGGAAGCTGTGAGCTGCTTGCCTGGAGGAACGGAGGTGAGAGGGCTAGTGTGAAAGGGTGTGAGCCGTGGGCACTGGCTCCTCGTGCAGCCCAGCCACTTGAGAACAGCTCTCCAGCGGGCCTGGTCTTTTCGGGCCTGGCCTTCTGAGAACTTTCCAGAACCAAGTGTAACTCTGACAGTCCATCCAGATTGAACCGGTTTTTCGGAGAGGGGCCTCCTCGTGAGCCTCACATTTAGCTCCCTGTGACAGAGCCATTTAGTGTGTCAACAGGTCCTTCAGCCCACATCCCACTCCACAGCTCCTCCGGCATTCACTCATGTCAAAGGGATGACGCATGCCACAGAGTGCAGATTCATTTGGGCTGTCACCTAGCAACGCCTAATGGCTCTGCTGGCTCTCTGAGGGAGACAGAGCTCAAAGAAGGCTTTTCAGACCTGGCCTTCTCCCACTCACACGGGGCTCGGGGCCTCTTTCCCTGCCAGTGCTGCAGAAACCGAGGGATGCATTAGGGAGGGGGGCAGCCACTGGGCCTCTTCTGCTGGGTCCTGGCGGGCAGCCTCGAGCCTCACTCCACCAGTCCCTGTTCATTTCATTGCCGCGCACACGTGGCACTGGGGGTGCGGGGCAGTTAGCACTCCCCCTGGCCTTCCCAGAGCTTCCCAGCTCTTCCCAGCGTGAAGTTCCGTGAGGACTTCATTCAGCCCTTGCCTTTGACAGTGAAGAAGTGTTTCTTTATGTCTTGAGTTAGCCTGGAGCCTAACCCAGGGACATTCCTTCCTGTAAAAATATATATGTTTTTCATTATAAAGTAATATGACCGCACTACAGAAGACAGAGACAACAGGGGAAAAGTAAAGCCATCCATAATCCCACGGCCCGAACGAGCGCTGGCAGCACTCGCTTTATTTCCGTTGTCTGTTTTGCTTCCAGCCCATCTGCTTTTTCCATACTGGTAGTCATGGCATACGTACAGTTCTGTGTCCTGCTCTTCCACTTAATATCCCCCAAAGCTACACATGAGCACTTTTTCATCTTTGCCACATAGTCTTGTTTTTAATGGCTATACATTATAACCAAAGACTAGACCGTTTCCTGCCACCCAGCCCAGCTCTGTCTGGGAGGGTGGCTTCGGGGTCTCCTTGCCAGCTGAAAGCTCACCATCATCTTCTCCCTCCACCTCTCCTTCCCCAGAGACCAAGTTTTTAGGATTAATGTCAGAAATGGAGACGAGATCAGAAAACTGACTCAGCTAGTGAATTCGGAGCACTTTAAGGTACGTGTCTCTCTGTCCCGTGCAGTGTCCTGAGTCTGAGGGGGAAGAGGGCATTGTGCTTGTTTTTATCCCTGCAAGTTTTCTGTTCGTAATGGGGCATGAGTTCGTGTGCCGGCCACACGAGCTCGAGGGAATGCAGGGAGAAGGCCCGGGGTTGTGGTTTCGCGGCTTCACCAGCTGGGGGCCTGACAGCTTCTCGCTGGTTCTCGGGCCTTGCCGGGCACGGACTGCTGGGGCAGGCCTGACCAGAAACGGCTGTGAAGTGGGCGTCCTTGTGCAGGCCTCCAGGAGCACCCGGCTTTGGACAGCGGCTCCCACCCGAACCGTCTTCTCACCTCATGCCACCTCTTTTCTCCTCAGCTCAATGTCTGGAGATCTCCTTCCACTGTCGACCGGCCCGTGGATATTCTAGTGCCCTCTGTCAGCCTGCTGCCCGTCAAGTCCTTCCTGAAGTCACAGGGCTTAGACTACTCAGTGACAATTGAGGACCTACAGGTGGGTAGGCCAGGCACTCTTTCTGGTCTTTCCCAAGACGGAGCTACTAACCAGACTGGACCTGGGAGATTTAGGATGTCTGGTGTCATCTTTTTCACCCCGAGGTGGGACAGACGCAAGCAGAATGTAATAGCCTGTCTCAGGAAGAGTGTGCTCTGGAGATAGGCAGGTACGCAGGGCTTCGGCAAGGCCTCCACCGCGAGCCACCACTCTCCTTGGTCATGCGTTTGCTCCCAGGAGCCTCCATGTCATGGTTGCTAAAACGGTGGTAATGACTCCTACTTTGACCATTTTCTGAGACAATGCTTCCATTAGCTAACAGTGGCTCTAATGGTGGCTGGCACCTCATAGGTGCTCAGTGGGTGATCATTCGTGCCTTTACCTTGTGCTTGATGTTAGAAGGCAAAAGTGCGCGGGGACCAGCTGGAAGAGGTGTCTTTTTAGAAAGAGGGAATGTCACCAGCAGCTCAGTGCTCTCAGGGAACATTGCCATCCAGCCCCACAACCTGTCCTGAACAGCAGGATGGGGTCTCTGGCCCACATTCTCCTTCACCGAGGTGGGTAATGGACTAATTGATGATTTGGCCCAAGATTTTCCTGATGGTGTGAGCAGCTGTGAGCTTATTAATCATCCTCACATGTCACAGACATCTGCCAGGAACCTTCAAAGTATGAGTGCTTCTAAGAATGTCTTTGTTTCCCAATGGTTTTCCAAGCTGTGTGTTTCTGAGGCATTGCAGACCAGATGCAAGCTGATGTCTAGAGATTTCATGCTATAGAAAAACCGAATTGTGCATATGTTCCTTCCAGGGAGCAAGGGTTTTGAACGTAATAATATAAATCAGATATTAAAAAGTAAAGTTTTATAGGTATATGGAAAAAAATATGAGCCTCCTCTTTTTTTTTTTTTTTTCTATGCAAGCCAGGATAGCTTATTATTATTTTTAGCTGTGTCATACTGCTGTGATGGTCAAAACACATGATTATAGATAGCTCTTCTCCTGGGTAAGAACACTGAGCTGATTTTATGTGCTGAAAAGTTTCAATAGAACCAAAAATGTTAGAGAATAAAGAAGTTAAGCAGAAGCCAGGCATGGTGGCACACGCCTTTAAATCCCAGTGCTCAGGGAGGCAGAGGCAGGCAGATCTCTGTGAGTGCGAGGCCAGCCTGGTCTACAAAGTGAGTCCAGGACAGCCAGGGCTACACAGAGAAACCCTGTCTCAAAAAACCAAACCAAACCAAAACCTTAAGCAAAAAGGAGTACAGATAATTCCCTTGTTCTGCCCCACAGAACTAATGTAAAGCCCTTGGAAATTAGTAGCATTTAGGATGTCAAGTAGTTAAGGTTAAGGACAGGCTAGGTGCAGCAGCATGAACTTACTTGATCTGTGATCTTGATCTGTGATCTTTGCTTGTGTAATTTACGCGATCTGGCCCCATAGACCTTGAGCGTCTGTCTTGCTTGTTCCTCTGAGGGTGCCGCCATCTTGGCCAGCCCACCTCCCCAGATGAGCCTGCTTCTCCAGGGATTCCTTCACCATGTTGCTGTGTGTTTTAGGCTCTTTTAGACAACGAAGACGAAGAAATGCAGCACAGTGAAGGGCGAGAGCGGAGCGGTGACTTCAACTACGGCTCCTACCACTCCCTAGAGGCCGTAAGTGTTCCAGGCCGAGCTAAGGCCAACGTTTTCTGCTTCCTGGGTTTTGGAACCTCTCTCCTGACATCTGACTTCAGCATGGTATCACTTCACTGAGGGGCTGAAACGTGCACACTTTAATTCCTTTCCCATTAGTTATTCAACTCCCACCAGCACCCAAGTGCCTGGGAAACACAGCTGCAGAACCCTGGGCAGAAACCTTTCTTAGGGGCCTTTGCAAGAAAACCCTGATGTAAAGGCAGCACTTCCAGTCCTTGTAATTCAACCTTCTTCCCCACCGGACTCTCTAGACTAAGATGCCATTTACTCCCAGCAAGCAGACAAGCCGTTATTTCCAAGGTTAACCAAATATTTCCACTCATCTATCATGACTCCTTATAACGTGGATTTGTTCCACAATGCAATTTGGTGCTATGTGTAGTTAGAAACCACTTTATATAGATGGCTTTCAAAGTAAGCCAAACTTTCAAACGAAAAGCTTGGAGCTGAATAATTTCATCCGATCCTGGAACTTGAGAAATCAAAAGGGACCACAGAGCGTCCCGGCAGCCCTGTAGTGCAGTCTCGTGTGTCCTAAGCGTTCTTGTTAGCTTGCACACTCTCCAAGCTTGGGCCCCTCCCAAATCTAAATTGCCATCTCCCTCCTCTACCTTAATACACGCTGTACTTCACGGGCAAACACTGGTTTCCTGGCAAGCTTTTCATGAGGCGCGTACATCAAGTTGTTTTTCTTGTGGAGGAGGGAACCAGAGGCTGCCAAGTCTTCCCCTTCGTTCCCATGACTGTCAGTAGCTTTGATTATTGTGTATACCTCCAACCACACTGCTCCTTGATCCCTCTTGTGACCAGTGACACACATCTGCCAAACAGCTGCAGAAAGTTAGGAGGCCGTGGACGAGAGCAGAGCTAAGGGCCCACACGGGGACCAAGCCCAGAACATTAGCCTCATTAATGTCCACTGCCTCCCCGCCCCCCCAGGTAACCAGTTACAAGCGTCACCCAGGGACCAAGAGAGGCCATCCACTTACCCTGCCAGCTATGTGCTCACTCTCTGCTTGCTTCTGTTCTCACTGACTTGGGTGCTCCTTGCAGAGGGGTCTGTAGCTAGCTCTTGCCCCCAGAGGCATGCTGCTGTGCCGTCTGTCTCCTGGCTACTCATTTGGAGTTCTTCCTAAAACCGGCTTTGAATAGCTCCAATCTCTGAACACTCAAGCTTTTCTGCATCTTCAGTGGGAATTCAACATTTGTTTGTGCCAGGGCGTCTGGTTTCAGGTCCTCAGTGTGGTGGTGGTTGGCATGTGAATTTGCACCCCACATCTGGGCACAGGTTGGAGATTTTTAGAAATAACTGTCCTCTCTGTCTGCCTGTCGTCTCTCTGTGTGCAGGTATGCGTGTGCCGCTGGTGATAATGTGGAGGGCAAGAGGGCAATCACGTCTCTTCTTCCACCATATGGGTGCAAGGAAGCAAACTCAGACTCATGCTGTCAGGCTTGGCAGCAAGTGCGTTCATTTGCCGAGTCATCTCCACAGCCCCAGCCTGGTGTTTCTGTTTGTTGCTTTGTTTTTTGAGACAGGGGTTCTCTGTGTAGCCTTGGCTGTCCTGGACTCACTTTGTAGACCAGGCTGGCCTTGAACTCACAGAGATCCTCTTGCCTCTGCCTCCCAAGCGCTGAGATTATAGGCATTCACCACCACATTTGGCTTTCTTCCTTATTTTATATTATACATAACCTATTATCTGTACAGACAGACACACACACACACACACACACACACACACACACACACACACTGTGAATGCTGTTTTGTTTTGTTTTGCTGGTGGAGAACAATTTGGCAAACCTGGCTGTCCAGAGGCTTGGTGAGTGGGTTTATTCTGACAATACAGTCCAGAATAATGCAAAGATATCAGGCAATGGTGGCACACAACTTTAGAGCCGGTACTTGGGAGGCAGAGGCAGGTAGATCTCTGAATTCAAGGCCAGCCTAGTCTACAGAGCGAGTTCCAGGATAGGCAAGGCTACACAGAGGGACCCTGTCTTGAAAACCACAAACCCAAGCCCCAAAGCAAACCAAAGAATTACACTTTGGAGCACTATTTGTTTAATCTCTCTGCTTTACTTGACTGGACTGTAATTTTGCACACAATTGGAAATGTGTTGTCCTCCAGAAAACTGCAAGTGGAGCTGTCCAGGGTCCCTTGTAATGACTATCCCATGTGATACTGTGGCCAAGCTCACGACCAGGGTTTCAGAAGAAACTTAACCTTGGCAAGATAAAATTCACACCCAACCCATACTAGAATTCTAAAACATTGTTGGGTTGGGTACAGCAGACATGCCTATTATCCTAGCTTTTGGAAGAGTGATGTTGGAAAACTCCAGGCTCAAGACCTGTGTACACTATATAGGAAAACCCTATCTCAAAAAATTAAAAAAAAAGTTTTTTAAGTGTTGTTGGTTCACTTTTCTATACTTCAGATTTACCATGAGATGGACAGTATTGCCACCGATTTCCCTGACCTGGCAAGCAGAGTGAAGATCGGAGAGACATTTGAGAAGCGGCCCATGTATGTTCTGAAGGTGAGGCCACGGCCCTTCCAAGGCTCCTGAGTGGACAGAAGTTTCTGGGTCTGATTTCTCAGGACTCAGGCCTTGTTCTGCTGACAAAGGCAGCTTCTTAGACCCCTCAGTTCTGAGGAAGAGATGCTAGCTTCGATTCATCTTTGCTTAGGCAGATACTTTGATCTGATGGAATGCCCTGCTTTTATCTACTGTAGTGCTGTTAGAAAGAGCTTATTCCATTCTAGGTTCTGGCTGAAGGGGTCACAGGAGAGGCTGCTAGTATTCCTCAAGACTGTCGGAGACTCCAGTCTGCCTTCGCTGTCACCTAGCAGAGTCTGGAGAAGAGTCTGGAATGCTTGCATTAAGGCAGATGTAATTTTAAGGCCAGCCTTGGGTTGTTGACCTCATGGAGCCCAATTTCCAGATATTTCTAACAGATTCAGCTCTGCATTGGCAAAGGAGGTAGAGAGCTACAGCAATGGCATAAATTACAGAAGTAATGCAGCTGAACACACAGAAAGGAATTTGGGCATAAAAACCATGGAACAGCCAGTAGCGCTGAGAATCTGCCGAACCCTTAGCTTTGCGGAAGCCAGGTTTATAACAGATAACTGCCGGGGGCTGGGGGAGACTCGCCGCTGAGCTGGTTCCTTTAAAGTAATTACGTTTAGCTTATTTGCCCATCTGATAGAGATGCTGGCTTCCCATAGAGCCCAGCGCTGTGGTGAAGGCAGGAGGCAGAGGTCACAGAGAGCTTAGCGAAGGCCTCTCCTTCGTAATTTAAAGCCCAGTTCACTGATTCCGTGAGCAGAGCCGGCTGGTTCTTCCACCCTCACATCCCTCTCTGTTGGGAAACCGTTTGAGATCTTTGAAGAGACACACTAGTATTTCTAATCATGTGAGCATTCTGACCCACAACCCCAATTGTTTCTCCTTTCCATTTACTCCCAACGCTGGAGAAGTTTGGGCTGCCCAGGGCTTCAGCCAACCAATTAAGCTCCCTGGTCACGGAGAAGCCGATAAATAGATGGTGCCCTCAGGAACATTTGGTCCCTGAATTATCTTAAATGAATTAAATGAAAAGGAGCAGGCTGGGAGGAGAGGTGAGGAGACGCGGCTGGCAGGTCATTTTCTGGCCTCTCTTCCCCTCTGCAGTTCAGCACGGGAGCCGGCAAGAAGCGGCCAGCCATTTGGCTGAATGCAGGCATCCATTCCCGTGAGTGGATCTCACAGGCCACTGCCATCTGGACGGCGAGGAAGGTCATGTCGCCCGGAATTAGTCAAGGATTCTGGTGGGCCTGGGTGGGGACCTCTGCGGCCTTCACGGAGCTGGGCCCAAGGGAGGAGATTCAGGAGGTGCCTGGCACAGGCGTGGTGGGCCGGGAGAAGTGGACAGGGGAAGGTCACCGTGTGGTTAGGTGACGGTGAGCAGGCTGACATACTGATTCACTGCGGGCCCTGCAGAGGGAACCGCGCCTCAGCGCCAGGCTCATCCCCTCTCTGCCGCCATCCCCTTCCAAGCCTTCTGGGTTCTCAGACTGCCTCCAGCACTTCAGGAAACGGCTTTGAGCCGGTGCTGGGAGGGAAGGGTGATGTGTGTGTGGGGAAGGTGTGAACAGAGCCACACCCCTCGCTGCACCTCTGGCACTTGATATGGTCACGGTCATGCAGGCTCTGAGGGCTCAGAGGGTTTTTCAGGGAGCCTGTGGGGCTTCAGGGAGGCTCGAGAGAGGGGGGCCATCTTAGGGCCTGCTGGGCATCTCAGGAAGACACCTGGCTCGACTGCGAACCTCAGCTGCCCTGACAGGCTTGTCTCTGCTTAGATTGTGACCAGCTACCAAAAGGACCCAGCTGTCACCTCCATCTTGAAGAAAGTGGACATTTTCTTGCTGCCGGTGGCCAATCCTGATGGATATGTGTACACACAAACCCAAGTGAGTAATTAAAATGGCCAGGGCCTGGCCTGAACTCCCCAGGTGGATTTGTACTTTGCTAGTGCCCTTGGAGACCATTTCCACCAGCATGCGTGCTGATGGCCCTCAGGAGTTTTCTTTTCTAGTCATCCCGAGCTGAGAATCACCAGGGATATATTATTATTTTTAGAGAGAATTGTCTAAGGACCTCTCTTTTGTGGGTCTTGAACAATTTTCAACACTTTGCCTATCTTCTGTTCATCTTTTTCTCTCCTCCACAATTTATTTTCTTGGCATATTTTAGAGCAAACCCCAGACATCATGTTATTTCATCTACAACGACCTTAGTGTGTGTCTCCAGCTGATGATGATAGCAATAAACCAAAGCCGCCGCACCACTGTCACCCCTGAAAAATGAATGGAAGGTCTTTAATATCCTCTAGCACCGCCATTATTTTAAAGCCGTCTCTCAGGAGTCGATTTGTCCAAGCCGGGCTCCAGTGAGGCCTGTGCGCCGCACCTGTGGCTGTCTCTGCGGTCACCTTTCCTTCAGCAGCACCCCAAACACATCCTTTCAAAGTGTCAGCCATTTGTTGGAGAAACCACGCCTGTATAATGGCTCACATTCGGTGTCTGGCGGGCGGCTTCTTTGTTGTGTGATTTAATTTGTTCCCGTAGCCCCTGGCTGAGAGCATGACTGAATTCAGGTGGCTGTCTTAGGCCACGAGAGGCAGCCTACGAGTTTGTGGCATGGTGAACTTGGGAGGCTATTGCTTCGACTTCTGAGTAATCATTCAGGGCATTCAGATGGCGTCGGCTTGGTCCTTGTATAGGAAGTTCTCGTCAGGGCACTTGGGGGAGTCACTGTCCTTCCTTCCTTCCTTCCTTCCTTCCTTCCTTCCTTCCTTCCTTCCTTCCTTCCTTCCTTTCTCCTTTCTTTTGTTCTTTCTTTATTCCTTCCTTCTTCTCTTTCTTTTCTTTTGACATATCTTCCTGACTACTGGCTTGGAACTATGTAGAGCAGGTTGGCTTCAAACACACAGAGATCTGCCTGCCTCTGCCTCTCCAGTGCTGCAATTAAAGGTGTGTGCCTGGCTCAGAATCCCCCTTTAAAGCCAGAAGTATACACCAGCTCTCTGTGGGAGTTAAAAGCAGACTGCCTAGGCAGTGACACTGGAGTCTAGATGCAGCCCCCCGTCAGGTCCCCCTATTGTGGTCTCAGCTCCCAGGGACACCCTTCGACATGTCTTGATGCACCCTTGGGTGGCTGGTGGCTTTTCCAGAACCGACTGTGGAGAAAGACACGGTCCCGAAACCCAGGAAGCCGCTGCATTGGTGCCGATCCAAACAGAAACTGGAATGCAAGTTTTGCAGGTAGGTGGGGTGATGGTTTCAAATCCCACCAGCAACGGAGAAACCTGTCTATGCCTGGCAGGTGGGTGGCACAGGGAACCAGTTTCCCTCCTGGTGTTGTTTTTCCAGTCACAGAAGGACTCAGAGACATGCCTCAGGCTCTCTATGTCTACGTGTTCTGTTTTGTTTTTAAGACGAATTGTAGCTTTGAAAGGGAATGAGTCAGTAATCTCCATCCTCCTGAGGAAGCAGTGAGACAATGGTCTTCGCATTGTAATTGTGATTATGTTAATTTAGAATAGTTACTATTTGGTTTATTTAGTGTGGTGAGGCCTCGTGCATTCTCGGCAAGCACTCCACCGGCGAGCTGTCCTCTCAGAACCTACAATAAGATACAGTTAAAAAGTCACTCCCATCTTAGAAGCATCCATGCAAGGCCCCTCCTTGGCCATTCCAGCTCTGCCTGGTCAAGCTGTAGCTGGGAGAAGGGTCCCCAGTGGCAAGTCAAAAAGACAGGTAGCACTGCTACCTGACAGGCAAGAGCCTATGGCAAAACCTAAATTCCGGCACTGCGTTCTCTTAGTGTGATTCGGAGCTAGCACTCATGGGGGGCGAGGGAGAGGGGGACCCGGGCTCTGAGCTCCGCTGTCCAACAGGCACCCACAAAGGACCAACCAGAGTCTCCGTTCTTTCGTCTGTTGAATGGATGTTTGCTTTTGAAGCTCAGATAGAAGCTTAAGACTTCAAGGGTGATAAAAATAAACACCTTCCAGTTTTAAATCTATAGCAGTTCTTTCCCGTTGACACACACACACACACACACACACACACACACGTGCTCACACACACACAC